CTTCTGAACCTCTCGGATGGTACGAGGCGACTGCATGTCGATGACCGCCTGCACCTTCTCAGGGTTCGCCTTTATTCCTCTCTGATTGATAAGGAATCCGAGAAATTTCCCAGACTCAACTCCAAAGAAACATTTCCTGGGATTGAGCATGACATGGTGCCGCCTGAGTGTGGCGAAATTTCTCGGAGGTCCGACAGATGATCTTTCTGAAGTTTAGACTTGACAATCATATCATCAATATATGCCTCGACATTTCTCCCAATCTGATCAAAGAACACAGTGTTTATCATTCGCTGGAAAGTGGCCGGGGCATTCTTAAGACCAAACGGCATGACCGTGTAACAGTATAACCCCTGATCAGTGACGAAGGCCGTCTTCTCCTGATCTTTCTTCCATAAAGGAATTTGATGGAAACCAGAGTAGGCGTCCATAAAGCTCATCAAAGCATGGCCGGCTGTTGAGTCGACCAGGTTATCAATTTTAGGCGGAGGGTAACTGTCTTTGGGGCACGCCTTGTTTAAGTCTGTGTAGTCTACACACATTTGCCAGGTGCCATTCGGCTTTTTAACAAGCACCACATTTGCAACCCAGTCTGGGAAGTAACATTGCCGAATGAACCCTGCATCAAGTAATTTTTTAACTTCGGCGGCTGCCGCCTGACTTCTTTCTTCGCCATGGTTCTGCTTCTTCTGCCGTACCGGCTTCTTTTTCGGATCCACGACCAGTTTATGTACCGACAGATCATGACTAATGTCTGGCATTTCATGGACTTCGAATGCAAAGATGTCCTTGTATTCTTTCAATAGTTTGTGAAAGTCGTCACCCAGGTCCCTTAGAGCAGTCGTCCCAACCTTGATTGTTCTGTCAAGACGCGAGTCATCTAAGATCAGGTCCGTATGCTCACCAGCTGGCTGAGGGCGGAATTCATCCGACCGCTCCTCTGCCAATGATTGCTATTTTCTGTCTTTTCTTGCGGCCCCTGTCTGGGATGCCTTTCTCTTCTTGCCGCCTGCTTCTTGAACAGGCGCACTCTCCTTGACATTGTCAAGGTCTATTTTTCCACCGCTCGACATAGTGGCCATAACAGTGGGCTTGACATCCGAGAGATAGCACTCTCGGGCCATCCTCTGATCTCCCCTTAGGGACCCGACTGTTTCATTATCCCTCTCAAACTTGAGCAACATAAGAGATGGGATTATAACAGCCTTGGAATTATTCAGGGTTGGTCGTCCCAGAATCATGTTGTAGGCCGAGAGTTCTTCTACTACTAGGAACCGGACTACCATGTGTCGTCCTTCCCCTTTTTCGCCCAGGCGGATGGGTAAATCCACTCGTCCCACTGGGTGGACGACTCCTCCTCCAAACCCTACTAAAGGGTGGGATACCGGATGTATGAAATCAGTCTGATATTTTAGTTTCGACAGACATTTGCTACTGATGAGATCTGAGGAGCTTCCGATATCTATGAGGATTCGGCCAACTCTCTGGTTGGCCACTTTACATTCAATAACGATAGGGTCGTCATGCGGCCCTCTTACCCCTCCTAGATCTTCTTCAGTGATGACAATCTCAGGAAATGAATATTTGGAGGGTCGTTCTTGGTGTACGGAATTTACATATAACCGTCTGATATTGTCTTTGTTGCCCCTAATAGTGGGGCCGCCTCCTGAGAAGCCGCCTGCAATGGTGTAGACGACTGCATCATCTGTATCGGAGCTGTCGGCCTGTTGATTCTTTTTGGTCGACTGCTTTTTCGAGGAAGTGTTCCCCGTAGATTTCTTGACATAAGTGTCAAGGTCACCTTGCTCAGCCAGGCGGTCCAGATACCGCATGAGAGTGATGCATTCATTGGTGTGATGACCAACATCTTCATGATAATCACAGAATTTTTCTTGGTTCCGATTGTTTTCAGAACCCTTCATGGGGACTGGCTTCTCAATTGAGATCCGTCCCTTGATTTCCTTTAGGATAAATTGGTTATCCTTGTTAAACACATACTTTGGGGAGTATGGTTTGAATTCTTTTTTCTTCTTCTGGGACGGCTGTTTAGAGGAATCAGTTGCCCATACCTCTTTTCTCTTCTCGTCTTTGTTTGACGACTGCTTCTGTCGTCCTTCTCTTTTGTCAGACCTTTTCCCGTCTGACTGTTTTACCGTACTACAAAGATCAGTCGCCTGTATATAGGCTTCCGCTTCAATCAAGGCCTCTTGAAGAGTCGCCACTCTCTTTCGGACCAAATCAAATTTGAAGGTCGACCCGTCTTTGAGACCTCTGAAAAAGTCAGTATAGGCTACTTCATCCGGTAACCCTTGAATTTGTATTCTCATCAGGTTAAATCGCCTGATGTAAGAACGAAGCCCCTCCTTCTCGCCTTGCTGAATTGTTCCTAAATCAAGGGTCGTCTTCTTCGCAGGGATGTTCATGGCGAAGTTGGAGGTGAATAAGTAAGCAAGCGTCTTGAAGTTATTTACACAACCAGTCGGCAGGTTGCCGAACCATTGTTGTGCAATTCCTTTGAGAGTCGCTGGGAAACACTTGCACCAAGTGGGATCATCCAACCCTTGAAGGTACATCAGGTTGGTGAATGCCATCAGATGGTCTTCTGGGTTAGTAGTGCCGTCATAGGCGCCTACTAATACATTTTTCACTTTGGCCGGCTGAGCGGCTTCAGTAATTTCCTTGGAGAAGGCCGACGGCTGTTCACCAAGTCTAAGCAACCGTAGCTGCCAGTCCATAGGTTGGACATTTTTTGCTGCATGTCCACCAAACGGAGGTGGCTGTAAAAAATACTGTTGTTGCGGTACAAACGGTAAGTTTGGTACCGCCTGGTCGCTATGAAAGCCGGACTGACGGGAGGTGCCGCCTGACTGACCCTCATGATACGACTGAGTATGCCTCATCGAGGTATTTCGCAGACTGTCTTGGAAGTTTGAAGTAGAGGCCGACTCTGACAATCGGTCACTCTTCTTCTGCTCTAGCAGTAGCCGAGCGTCTGTGTATGTTTTCCTCGACCCGTCCGCCTGAATATGACAAACAGGTTTCCTATTTCCTGGAGTAGGAAAACGGTATTTTGTGAAATCAAGGGCAGGTGGCTCCCACTTCCTAGATTTAGGATGAGGGGTCGCCTCTCGCCCTTGAACTGGCTTCCTCTTCCGTGAAGTGGAGGGTTTCTTAGCCGACTGCTCCTTGTCCAGAGCAGGCGGCTTCTTGTTGATCAACTCTTGAATTTCTCCCTTGAAGTCCCTCATGAAGGTCATGAGTTCGTTCCTTGTGATGGGAGCAGACCCATCAGTCGGCTGCTGCCGAACAGGCGGTGCGCCTGCTGGCTCGCTTCCAGTTTGAAGATGTTCCCGTTCCCTCCTTTCGGTATGACGGGTACGTCGGGCCCTTAGGGTCCCGTCTGAAGCTGTGTGAGCTTCAACTTCAAATTCATTCTCAGTATCGTGGTCCGACTGAACTAGAGGATCGTCCAGGGGACGTCTCTCTTCAAGAGCCGGTACAAACGTGGGTGCCATCTCAGAAGTACTCTCCCCACAGACGGCGCCAAAATGTTTTGGGGTTTTCTGGTGTCCTGCGGGAGAGTTACAATTCCGAGACTGGAACCGGACGCCTGTACCTGCAAAACAAACGGATGCTCCGGATGATTGGAGATCCGCCTCCGACGGTCAAGTTAGTACTTGATTAAGGAGTAATTAATGCGGAAATTAAAGTGATTGAGTCTCTCTAGGTGAGAGTGTTTAATGTGTGTAATCTGCGTCCTCTCCCTTAATGAGGATTAAGGGAGGTATTTATAACCTCGGGAAACGTGCCAATCTAGGTTTAGGTTAACCTTGGGCTGATTGGGCTTCCCTCGGAAGTTGGGCCTAGGTGACCGGCTTCTCCATTAGGCATGGAGTATGCCACATGTCATGACATAATAAGTCCAGGGTGGACGAATAAGCGTGTGCCACGTGGCAAGCCCTGAGAGGTCCAACTGGGGGACACTTGGCAGGACATGATTGGCCCACGTGGCGCATTCTGATTGGTGGGAGCAAAATCCCCTAATCAAGCATAGTTTCAAAATTACATTACAATGATTATACAAGTACCTATATATATGAATTAAGCTAGACGGGAGACTATACTATTATATGAAATAATTAGAATGGGGTTGTTAAAACATGGATTAACAATAACCTAATATTACTCTAACAATATTGTTAATCAATTTTATGGGATTATTAAAATAGTATTGGATCGAGGAACTCTATTAGTAAAGTTAAATTACTCTTTAACTCTTTCTTAGACTAAGGGCTTGTTCACATTTACTGAACTGAAGCGAGCTTAACTGAACTGGACTAAACTGAACTGAATAGAGTTGAATTGAACTGATTGGAGCTAAACTTAACTTAACTAAACTAAACTGAGCTGAAATGAATTTTTTTTCAAGAATGAAGGAAATTTGGAGCTGAACTGAACTAAACTGATTAGAGCTGAACTGAATTGAACTAAACTGATTGGAGCTGAAATGAATTGAACTAAACTGGTTGGAGCTGAAATGATATTCACACAATTAGATTATTAAATGTAAGAAAACATAATTAATTGTGTACTTATTGTCGGAAGTTAACACAATTAATATTTTATCAATAATTCAATTTCAGTTATTACTTTTATATTTCGAGGATACTTATTATGGGGTTATTTATTCAAGGGTTATCAGTTACGGGTTAGTTATTCATGGGTTACTCGGTTGGTTATAAGTTACTTAATTGTAGTAACCCTTAACCGACCAAGTAACCCCTTAAATAAGTAACTCTTGAATAAGTAATTTCGTTTTTTTTTTATTATTAATAAGCACCTTTATAATATATATGTAGTTTTTACTTTTTTTTCTAGAGGAACAATATATACTACATTCTATAATATATATATATATTTATTTATTTATATACACCACCTTTGATTTTTAATTACTTGTAACTTTGAGGCATTATTAGTGAGATATAAATTATTCCGAAGTTGCAACTAATAAAAATCGAAGGTAGTATAATTAATGTAATATATAGTTATTACATTATGAATAATCATACATGTGTAATAAAAAAAACTAGAATTAACCACTTCAAATTAAATAAAAAAAACAAAGACAAATCAACAAAACACAAAAAAAGATTAAAAAGGATATAAGGTCATTATGTTATATTGATACTTATATAAAGTATCACTTAATCTTAATTAACAAATAATGTTAGTTCACCCTATTCAAAAAAAAAAAAAAAAAAAAAAAAAGAAAAAAGTTAGTTCACCGATTAGGTAGCTAATTACCCAAACAAAAAAATCTCACAAACACTAATCTCCTCACAAATCCCAATTTTTTTTTTTTGAATAAAGTCCCTAAAGGGGACTAAATCTCATTAATAGGAAAATTAGAAACCAAGAGAGACAATACAACCAAGGAAATCCGAAACAAAAGTACGACTACCTACTATCCCAAAATTGATTAGGCGCTTAATTTTTTTTTTTTTCATTAGCCGCCACTTATTAACAAATTTAGCAAAACCACAAAGTTCTCCTCAAAAATCAAAAACCTTCCTATTAAAAAAAATTCAGAAACCTTGTTTGCTGATAAACGAGAACCGTTCGTTCGAAGGACCCTAATTGAAAGATTCGACTAACGCTCAGAAGATCAATTCTTGGACAAAATTTCAAGGTTAGATCTATTTACTGCTCGCTTTTCTCATATGTTGTGTTTTAATGTGTGAATCGATGGAAATTTTAATTTATTTTTTCTAATACATATGTGGTAGCAATTGAATTACGTTGGATTGTAGTTTCTATGCTTGAACAGATTTGTTTTCGAATTTTGATTTTATTTTTCTATTTTTGCTTCAATTTGGTGTGGCTCAAGATTTTTGCTCTTTAATTTTCATAATTTCGATTTTTGTTCTCGAATTTTGATTTTATTTTTCGATTTTTGCTTCAATTTGGTGTGACTCAATCCTCCGGTATACTTCAGGCTTACAGTCCATAACTGAGTTGTAGTGGTATCAATCTCTCAATGTAATGCATATAAATAAATATATGATGTGATTCATGCATGCAAATTATTTAGAAGACTACTACTCCGTACTTCTTAGATGAAGTAGCTTTTAATTAATAAACTAATAGGGTTGTTGTAGACTTTGATTAATGATTTTCCCATAATTAATAACTATATACATGATGGTGGTTAAGATCTAAAAATGAGATTTAGTCCTGGTGGTTCTTGGACTGCCACACAAAAACAAGCTTATCATAATAATTTATTAAATTATTATCATATGCATTTTGATTTGAATTTTAGTACAAAAAAAAAAATGAACTTTGAATCTTACAAAACTAATCATACATATTTGATGATTGTTAAAAATCTTCTTCCACCATTGCAATTTCACTGAAAATGTCCATAAAGTTGAATGGTTAAATGCTGAGTTTGTGCAAGTAGTATAAAAAAAATATTCTTAATAACTAACAAGTTTGAAGTTTATAATACTTCGGCCCTATTCTTTTGAGTTTCTGGGTAGAGTAGAATAGAGCAAAACAATTCAAAAGAACGGAACTAAAGGAGATAGAGAGAATTTATTAAGAATAAGGCATATTTCCTCCTTTTTTTTGTTAATAAACTCAATCCTCCAATATATTGATGTATACATAAACCTGGCAAATTCTGTTGGAAATGTGGCATTCTAGTCATTGTGAATTATGTATGACTACAGATAATTATTATTATTATTTTTAATTAATATTACTTTTTAATTTTTTTTAATAATTAGCTCTCTTTGCATTTATAGCTTTTATTTTCACATGGATAATCTGGATGTTCAAAAGAGGTTAGAGTGGATGAGGTGTGCTAATAGGACAGACAATCTCTATATAAATGGAGTTAATTCCTTTCTTCAATTTGCTTTTGGTGACTTAGAAACAAATAGTGATTTAGGAGAAGAGGAAAAGAAGGTACCTTGCCCTTGTAATCGATGCAACAATGGTCCACATAAAACAAAGGACGAAATTTACATCGACTTGATAGTGAATGGAATCGAGCAAGGTTATGTTCGTGTGATCTATCATGTAGAATTCAAACCCCCACAAAAGAAAAGTAGAAATGATTTGGGAGATAATGCTCATGATGATATATTTAGAATGATCCATGACAGGTTTAGTCTCAGAGTCTCTAATAATGATGACATAGATGACATGTTAGATGAGGAGCAACAACCTAATGAGTTTGATCAACCTAGATATAAAAAGGATACAAAAGAGGCAAAAATGTTTGAAAATTTGATGAGAGATGCTCAACAAACTTTATACCCCGGGTGTAATGAATTCTCTAAATTGTCATTCATTTTGAAGTTATTCCAAATCAAATGTATGGATGGCATGACTAATAAAGCTTTTACTAGTATGCTTCATATGTTCAAAAATGCTTTGCCTAAAGGTGCTGTTTTGCCATCAAATTATTGTGAAGCACGTAAGATTATTACTAATCTTGGTTTCGATTATGAAAAAATAGAAGCATGTGAAAATGATTGTATGCTATTTTGGAAAGAGAATGCTAACCTTGAAAAGTATTCCATATGCGATACTAAGCGTGATAAAGCTTCTCCTAAAGTGTTACGCTATTTCCCACTAACTTTGAGGTTGCAAAGGCTATTCATGTCGTCCAAAACAGCAAATGAGATGAGGTGGCACTCTGATAAACGAGAAGATGAAGGAGTACTTAAACACCCAGCAGATAGTGAAGCTTGAAAGCATTAAGATAAAGAATATCCTACTTTTTCTGTAGAGACTCGTAACGTTAGGTTGGGTTTAGCAAGTGATGGATTCAATCCATTTGGCGGGCTTAGAAGTGACTATAGTATATGGCCAGTACTGGTTGTTGTATACAATCTCCCTCCATGGATGTGTATGAAACAACCTTACACAATACTATCTTTGTTAATTCCAGGGAAAAGTGGACCGGGAAATAACATTGATGTGTATTTGCAACCATTAATCGAGGAGTTAAAAGAATTGTGGGAAACTAGAGCTCAGACTTATGATGCTTCAAGGAATGAGTACTTTCAAATGCGTGCTTCATTGTTATGGACCATAAATGATTTTCCTGCGTATGCAAACTTATCTGGGTGGTCTACCAAAGGAAATAAAGCATGTCACTCATTATATGAAAGAAACTAGCTCTGCTCGGCTACCAAATCACGGGAAATGTTGTTACATGGACAATCGTCAATTTCTACCTACCGATCATAAATGGAGAGATAATAAATCCTTTAACGGGAAAGTAGAAAAAAGAGGTCCTCCTAGGAAATTATCTTCTAATGAGATTTTAGAACAACTAAAGGACCTTGAAGGCATGAAATTTGGTAAAACAATGAAATTGCTAAAGAGAGATGATAATTGGAAGAAGAAAAGCATTTTTTTTGAATTTCCGTATTGGAGTAACCTCTTACTTTCTCACAATCTTGATGTCATGCATATTGAAAAAAATGTGCTTGACAATATTCTTGTTACATTGCTAGATATTGATGGGAAGTCAAAAGACAATCTAAAGGCTAGACATGATTTAAAGCATTTGAAGGTTATGAAACATCTTGCTCCTACATTAAGAGATGGAAAGTGGCATATTCCTCCGGCACTATACACCTTGTCTAAGGCACAAAAGGAAAAAGTTTGTAAGTTTTTAGAGAATTTAAAGGTTCCAGATGGATATTCTTCTAACATTTCTAAATGCATAAACCTCGATAAGCGTAAAATTTACGGAAATTTCACCAAATGCCACTGAGCAATCTAAAAATTCACCAAATGTCATCGGACTTTTCAAAATTCACCAAATGCCATCCAATTTTTAAAACATTTACCCAGTGCCATTAATGACCAACGGCCGTTAACTCCGTTTGTAATTAGGGGTTAATCATGACACGTGTCATGACATAATTAGACCATTTATCTTAATTCATAAAAATAAAAAAAAACCAAAAAAAGTTTAAAAAAAATTAAAAAAATATTAAAAAAAAACAAAAAATTTTTAAAAAAAACCCTAAAATTTTCCCAGCCACCCCGACCACCGCCAAACCCTAACCCCTCCCCTCATCTCGCCGGAAAACGGCCGGTCACCACCGGAACCACCAACAATCGGCCGGCCGACCATGTAGCTCCCCACCTGACCCACCGCCGACCCCAAAAACCACCCATGCTGCTCGTCCCGACCCCAAAAACCTTGCTCCCTCACTGCCACCACAACAACTCCACCTCCAAGCACCACACTGCCCCCTTTGCTACACCCACACGCACCACCACATCAGCCACGATTAGCACCACCCAGCCCCCTTCGCTGCTCCCACGCGCACTAATTGGTCCAAATCCTCAACACGGATGCACCGCCACTTCACCGCCACCACTACAGAACCCATTTGGGTTTCGGGTTCAACCTAGAAATCCCATTTTCTAGGGTTTCGGGTTTTCTGGGTTAAGTCAATTTTTGGTGGTTTAAGGTGAGGGAATGGGGTTTATAGGAGCCGGAAAACAGGGGAGGGGGTGGTTTCGAGGCTGCGGTGGTCGGGAAGGGGTTGAATCATAACCGTTGCTCGTGAAGGTGGAGGTTGGTTGTGGTTTTCGCGGGTTAAGGTTAGATTGGATGGGTGGCGCGTCAGGTAGGGGTGGTAAGAGTAACAATGGGTAGGGGTCGGCGACAGCGGGTGATCCCGACTCGGCAAGTCGGTTTCTGGGCTGGGGAGAGGTGACTTGCGTGAAGGGAGGGGGAGAGGGATAGGGAATGGTGGTGAAGGTGGTTCCGGTGGTGACTGGCCGTTGTCCGGCGAGATGAGGGGAGGGGCTAGGGTTTGGCGGTGGTGGGGGTGGCTGGGAAAATTTTGGGGTTTTTTTTTATTATTTTTTGTTTTTTTTTTTTAATTTTTTCAAATTTTTTTTAACTTTTTTTGTATTTTTTTTATTTTTTATGAATTAAGATAAATGGTCCAATTATATCATGACACGTGTCATGATTAACCCCTAATTACTAACGGAGTTAACGACTGTTGGACATTAATGGCGCTGGGTGAATTTTTTAAAAACTGGGTGGCATTTGGTGAATTCTGAAAAGTCCAATGGTATTTGGTGAATTTTTAAATTGCTCAGTGGCATTTGGTGAAATAGCCGTAAAATTTATGGTTAAAGACCCATGATTGTCATGTGCTTATGGAACAACTATTGCCACTTGCAATTCGTGGGGTGTCCATACCCAAAGTGTACGATGTGATAGTGAAGTTGAGTACATTTTTCAAGGACTTGTGTTCAAAGACATTGAAAGTGAAAGATTTGGAAAATCTTGAACGTGAAATTGTAGTCACCTTGTGTGAAATGGAGAAAATATTTCTTCCATCTTTTTTCACCATCATGGTCCACTTGTGTCTTCACCTAGCTACGGAAGCTAAAATTGGTGGACCAGTACAATATCGTTGGATGTATCCGTTAGAAAGGTACTTATGCATTTCAAATTTGATTTAATAATTTTTGTAGACTCTTACGTAGATTTAAATGCTATGTTCGCAATAAAAGTAGGTCAGAGGGTTCCATCGCGGAAGGTTACATCATTGAGGAGTGCATGTACTTTTGTTCAAAATACTTGAATGAAATCGAGACAAAATTTAATCAACCTGAGAGGAATGATGATGCGGAAAATGATGACTACAAGGGTCTATCAATTTTTGCATCGTCTGGTGTTCCTTTAGGGAAGGCTAAATGTAGGTCTGTTAGTGAAGAAGAGTTAACACAAGTTCGAAAATATGTACTTAAGAATTGTGATGAAGCACAAACTTATTTAGAGTATGATATTTTTCTTTTCTATTTATAAAAAACTTCAAGTATACTTTCCCATGATTATTTTATAACAACTATTCTTTTGAATTTCAGTGAATATAAAGAGTCCACATCAAACAAAAATTTAGTTGATTGGTTTCGTGACCGGGTAATTTTTAGAATCAACTGTAGTTATTTTTTAATTACAAGTGTAGTACTAGTCTAAGTTTTATTTAGCTAATATTCTATTTATTGTTAGGTCATCGATTTGCCTAATGATTGCAATGACCAAGTGGTGAAAGATTTGAAAACATTGGCTTTAGGTCCTTTGAATTTGTGTTCAATGCTTCAATGGGATTCTTGCAAATGGATTCAGATTCCACACAAAGAATACAGAAATGAAAAGGGTACACCAAAATAGTGGTGTTACAATCAAAGGCATTGCTAGGAATATGGAAAAAGATTACTACGGGATTCTCACTAACATACTTGAGATACAATATTTAGATGGAAAGCGTGTGGTTTTGTTTCATTGTGACTGGTGGGATGTCAATAGGGTAGGAAGAGGTGTCAAAGTTGACAAACATGGCAATGTGAGTGTCAATAGTCTTTGTTCATTGCGTACCAAAGAACCCTTTGTGCTCAGGTCTCAAGCTCAACAAGTCTTCTATGTTAGTGACGGACTTGATCCCGATTGGCTTGTTGTTGTGAAGACCCATCCAAGGCATCACTATAATGTTGTAGAAAAGGAAGGGACCGAAAGTGAAGAAGATGCATTGCAACAACTACAATCTGAAGGTGCTCATATCTCAAGCTCAAGTAATTTGCAAGAGACTCATGATCCATTTGTTGAAATAAGAGATGATATTGGTGAAATGATCGTAGATGCTACCAAGAAAAATCAACCCAAAGATCTAAATGATATGGACTTACAAACATTAGATGACGACGATTTGCTAGAGGATGATGATGAGGATGACAGTGAGAGTGACCAAGAGAGCGACGATGATGATATTGATATTGCTTAATTTTTTTTTCTTTTTGTTTTTTTTAGCATGAATTGTATGTGTTGATACATATATTCATGGATTCCTGAAAAATCTTTGTAGTTATAATTACTTATTTTTTCACACTTTGCATTCGTGTTTTTATTGGCTTATTTGAATAGATATATTCCAGGATGTTTTTGTTTTATGCACAGTTATTGGTAAATGGCTTGTAGTATTTGACAGTAATTGTACACCATGTGTATAGTAGCTGGCAGCAGCTTTGCATTAGGGATGCAGTGGATGGTAGTAGATTATATTAGGCAGTCAATGTGCATTACAATTCTATTGTAAAATTGTCTAACCCTATTTGTTTTTTACTTTGTAAATGCAGATGAATGAGTATGAAAAAAAGAGGCTTCTTACAATAGCAGCCAACAAAAACAGACTTAAGTCGTTGGGCATAAAAAGAGTCGCATCTTCTTTGACAAGCTTGGTTGAAGGGACAAAAAAAAAAGAAAAAAAAAGGAAAAAAAATTGCTGGCATGGAAGATGATGAATATGTTCCCACTAATGATGAGCTTGAGGTTCGGGAACGTGAAATATAACCTCAAATCAGGTTTATAAGAAAGGTATAATATGAACTAATAAGTATGATTTATTTAGTTTTTCAACCAACCTCTATAGTTCTGGTAATTTTTTGTTAATTAATTTTTATCAGGCTAACATAAGACATTTGAGAGAAGGAAACAAAAAAGACAATTTCATTCCACCAAACACAGTGGCAAAGTTTCTAAAGACGAACAAGAAAGCACAAAACACAATGGCCATGGATATCTTAGAAAAAGGTACTTCATTATTCTTGATTTTGGTTTCTAGCTTATTACTGTCAGTTTGATCTTATTAGGTACCTTAGTTACCTAATAGCTACTACATTTGTCAAAATTTTAGTCAAAATTTTCTGTTTTTGACATCTGTAGGATTTTGTTCTTAGCTGAAACCATGAAATGATGGACTATTGTTTCATTTATATGGTCACTTGTTAATATTGTAATATAATTTAGCTTTCGTGTCGTTGTTTGTTGATAACACATAGCTTGATTACGTTTGTATGGCATATCTTATGCTAGTCTATACAGTTTGCATACTTTGTTGTGGTTGTTTTCTGCCACTAATTTATTTTGTTTCATGTAATTATTCTTAGTTATATCACCATTAGATTAAATACATATCTGCCCACCAATTTTCATTTTTGAGTGATAAAAATACTGCTCTATATCTCCCCTAACCTTCCCTTGACCATTTTGTTAGTCCATATGTATTATACTAATATCCATGTACATATGAAAACATTAGTTTTGGTATGCAATGTAATTGCTTTTACGTAAAAAAAAAAGTTATTCAGCTAATGAAATAAGTGTTTAGTATAGGAAAGTTGGGTAACCTCATCATTCTATGAGTATTCATACTCCAACTAATGTTGTACGGTTCAAATTTATTTTGTCAAATTCCTTGTTCTTACCATCTTCTATGAATAAATTATTGGTATTTTTGATATTCCTCAATAGTATATGCTACATGGCATGAAAGAAAGTCAAACTCCCCATATTCATGATTTCATGCTTGATGTTTAATGATAAATTTTCTGACTGTTATATTAGAGGGTTGTTGCGAGTAGGTGTAGCAGTATATCACATACAAAATTTCATTCCAGATTGGATTATGATGATGGCTTACTTATTGTTAAAGTTTCAACTCCATATCTCTATATGCATGCTAAAAGATTGGCTTACTTATTGCTAATAGCTACTACATTTGTCTTCTTTCCCAAATGCCAAAATAGAGCTTCTGAAAAGTGGTTCTGCTCTGATTAGTTGTCCCCTGCTGCTGTTTGTTGTTGGTGTCTGTCTTGTGGGTTGCTTGGTGTGCTTGTGCCCATTTGTTGCTGTTGTTTGCGCCTGTGGTATGTATGCAAGATAGGTGGCCTTGGTCTTGGTTGATTCATTACACATGTCAAAAAGCGGGCTGCCAAACCTTCAGCTAGATCATAACACCAACCATTTAACCATCTAAGTTTTCAATTTTAATTTTTTTTTATTTTTTAGTATATTTCATGTAATATGAGTGAACTAGATAGGTGCTTTTTGGTTACATTGAACAAAATCAGATTATCAATTTCACGCATATTGAACAGAATTGCAATCCTTATTATTCAACAATGATACCAAATGTGATCAGCAGAGCTGCTGGCAGGAGCACCCGCAGGCTAGCTGCGGTCAGTGCTGTCCACTACAAGCTGGCTGCGGACTGCACTGTTCCCAGCAGACGCAGCAGCCCTTGTGGTGTCCGTGGCAGCATTGGCAGCCTCTGTGACCTCTAAAACAGCCTCTAAATCCTCCAAAAAATCCAAATCAACACCCACATTATCCCCCGGAGCTTGCACTATAGTTTCGTATACCTCATCCCCGTTGACCCATTCCATTACACATAGCTCTATTTTTATTAAAGCAAACAATAAATCAGTTAATAAAGCAAACAATAAATCAGTTAATAAATCAGTTATAGGTTTTGTGATGAATTAGTAAAATTTCAATTAACCAGACTCATGGGAATGTTTGTGGATGCTATAGATTCAATATCATCACTCAGAGAGTTTCAGCAACAATCAAAACCAATCCTTCCTTATTACTTCAGTAAAGACTTGTTTTTATTCTATACATGTAAACAGAAAACGATGAAGAAATTGGAGAAACAAAGGAGAATAATAACACTGTTGAGGGGGGCTATGATGAGGAAGGACGACAGATTGGTCAACCACTTGAACTTGAAGATGCATCTTTGGATACTGAACCATTGAACGACAAGGAACTCATGACTGTACCAGAGAATGAGGACCTTAACATTTCATCAGGTTTGACTTTATTATCCCTTAAAACATATATATATGACAATATGCTTCAAGTCATGTCAATTCACTACCCAGTGAGCTTATGCTTGATACAGGTGCCTCTAAAATAAAAGAGGAACGGTATATTGTAGAAAGCTTACCCTGTTATCTCCTGAGGAAAAACTGAATGTGGAGTTTGACAATGATGGTGTGGCTATTGGTGATAATGCTTCATTATTTTCTTTCTTCTTGGGTCAACAAGTTCGAAATAAAGCTATATGTTCGGTACAAGTTAAATGTTGGGACGATTATAAATCTGAAACATTAGACCATTTGTGGGCTTGCATCACGGTAATATGTTATCATAATAAACATGTTTATGGGGTTTTTGTTTCTCTTATTAACAATGAAACATTGTCAACTTGATGTATGAGCAATAATTAATTTATCTTTGTCTTTTGCAGAAGTGGTCATTTGATGACCCTGAAAATAGGCAGGAGTGTGTTATGAAACATGCACAACGTTTATTCAGAGGTGCTAGGAGCAAATTGAAATCAAAGTACTTTAATGATAAAAACTTGAAAACAAAAGATGAACTTCTCAAAAATAAGCCTAGTCATCTAACTAAAGTGGAATGGAAGTTCTTGGTTGACTATTGGAGTGAAGAGGCGGTTATGGTAAAATACACAGATAATATATCTTTATTCTTATATAATTAACGTATATTATTGATTAAATCCTTTTTATTGTAGGAGAAGAGCAAAAAAGCAAGTGAAAGTAGGGCACATCAAAAGATGCCTCACTATAATGGCACTAAAAGCTTCGGTCGCACTAGACAAGAAATAGTATGTAACAACTACTCTGTCTAATTTTAACTTTTGATTCTTGCCATATATAGGACTACAATACTCTATGATGTCACATCAAGCCTTAATTACTACCTTTACTACATTCTATCATTTTCTAAAGAGCTCAAAAGGCTACACTAAATAAACTAATGAGACAAGCATCTGTTGCAGCTGTAAGTGGTTAGTGTTGCAGGCTGTTGTGGGTGGAGAGTGCTCCCCTGTTGTTGCTGCATTTTCTATGACTTGCACACAAGCCTTGCTTTCACACTAGCCCCCTCCCTTCCTGCATACCAGCCCCCTCCCTGCCTTCACACCTGCCCCGACCCCCTCCTGCCAGACTGCACATACCTGCATCCCCTCCCTACTTGCACACCAGCCTCCCTTCCCTGGATTTCCTACACACCAACCTAGTCCTTTCATACATAACAACCCCCACTCCCTCCTACCACTTACCTGCCTGCTTGCACACTAGCCCCCCTCGCCCTAGCATTCCTGCACACCACGTCACCACCCACGCCCCCCTTCCCCGGCATTCCTGCACACCACGTCACCACCCACGCCCCTTTCCTGCACACACCTAATTATAATTTTTTGTTTTTTTTATTTTTTTAGGCTAAATTAGAAAATAACACATGTTAAAAGACCTAATTTTGTTTTTAACACCTTAAGATTTCGAAGTTTAATTATAACACCTGTTAAAAAATAAAAATTTTGCTTTCACCACCAGATAACAGAAACTGTGACGGAATTTTTTGGTGGGGCCCACATAGTCGTTTACCCTCCAAATTCCATCCCCTTCAATTCGAATTTATCTTCTCTGTCATTTATTACCACCCAACTAATTTTGTTTCATTGAATTTCGTCTGCAAATCTTGAACAACCAAAATTACTGCGAACATTCAAACCATATACTGATTGTTGTGATTGAGAAATTGAGTTGGAAGAGGAGGTGTCAATATTGGAGCGAAACAAGTCAGCGAGATTCCGTCAGCCATTTCCAACATCCAAAAAGCTTGGACTTTTTCGTGGATTCTGACAGCAACAGGAGTAAGATTCCAATACAGGTACCTTTCGAACCCTTTAAAGTAGTTTTCAACAAGTACTGTGTGCTGCATTATGCCATTTGTGTGGGTGTAGTAGGGTAATTTGGGAAAAAAAATTAGGAACCCTAAGAACAGTAAAATGGGTTAATTTGTAATTAAAGTTGAATTTGATTAAATTAAGTATGATTTGGTGTAATGTGTGAATTATTTAGTTTAAATCATTGATTTTATTGACTGTTGACTGGTTTGTCATTGTGTTGGTTTAAATATGTTTGATTTTGTTGATTAAAGTATTGCGGTTGACTGTGTAATGGGGTTAGCTATGTTGGGTTTTATTGATTTGCTTTGCATTTGTTTATTAGGTAGAAAATGGCCGACAACGAAGATGGATTAGTTGATATAGTATTTAGAGTAGGGGGTGCTTTTGTTACTAAACAAGTGTCAAAATCAAAGCATTTGCTTTGTTGGTGTGGTGGGTTATGTTATTGGAGGAGGGATGTGGTAGTGGATAAGATAGATTTGCATTATTTGAGGGTAGCTGCTGTGCATGGGTTTGTGAACTTTAATGTCCATGTCCCACCTAACTACAAACTTTGGTATAAAGAAAGAGGTAGGACCTTTAACACAGGGAGAAGGGAGTTAGTAAATGAAGAGGAAGTGAAGGGGCTGCTGGAGACAGTGAATGGGGAAGGGTATGTTGAAGTATTTGTGACTGCTAATGAAACATTAAGGCCCATACATGAGATCCAGGCCCCAGTAAAGGCTGAGAGAAAGGGGAAGAAAAGTTCAGGTAAGCCTGCTGTAGTTAGGAAGAGCCCAAGAATTAACAAAAATGAGCCTAAGGTGAGAGAGGGTGAAGAATCTCCTAAACCTAGATCTAGACAGGGGATAGAAAGGGTTGAAGGGGTTTCTGCTGAGATTAAGGGGGTTCCTGGTAAAGGGAAGTTGTTGAGTAAGGGGAAACAAAAGGGTAAAGCTAAGCTTGAAAGGGGTTCTGGCAGTGTGAAGGTGTTGGATAAGGGAAAGGGAAAAAAAAAAATCTGTAGGCAAAGGATTGATTTTTGAGGATAGTAGTGAGGGCAGTGAGACTGGGAGGGAAGATGATTTTTCTTCAAGTGATGGGAGTGAGATTGACATAACTTGGGAGCCTGGAGAGGAGGAGTATGACAGTGGGGATGTGAGGTGGTTTGTGCAGAATTCTGAAGAAATTTTAGCTAAGGTAACAAGAAGTCTTGGGAAGCAGTTTGATGTACATGATGAGGGGGTTTCTAAGGATCCAAAGGCAAGGTTGATAGATAACTTGGATGTGAATGAGGTACAACTACAAGAAGAAATTGAGGGAGAATCAGATGACCTAAGGAGCTTGGATGGTTCATCTGATGAAGAGGACAAAAGTCCATGGTTTAATGACAAATCTGACTTCTCAAAGCCTGTTGTACTTGTTCATAGGCTTAGGTTTAGCAATGCTACAGTGTTGAGGAAAGCTTTAAGAGTGCATGCCATACAGAATAGGTATGGGTACTATTTTTTACACAATGATAGTACTAGGATTACTATTCAGTGTAGGAATAGGTGTGGGTGCAAGTTTGACACAAAGACAAGTAGGATGCCTTTGTGTATATGCAGGGGTGGAGTGAAGTGTAGTTTCAAGATCCATGCTACTAAGTTAAAAAGACAACAGACTTGGCAAATAAAAACCATGAAGTTGGAGCATAAATGTGTGAGAAGCAGGGAGAACAAGAAGGTCACAGCAGAGTTCATTGCTGAGAGGTATCTTGAGGAGTTCAGAACTAACCCATCATGGAAGGTTAAGCAAATCAAGGATAGGGTGCTTCATGACTTGGGGGTAGAAGTGACCTACTACAGGGCTTGGATGGCAAGATGTAGAGCTAAGTTGATCATTTTTGGTTCAGCAAGAGAGCAATATGCTAGGGTATGAGATTATGGGAAGGCTGTAATGAAATACAACCTTGGGTCTGGTTGTAATGTTGTGATTGATGGCATTGAAAAGCCTGAGCCTCCCTTGTTTATGAGGATGTTTATTTGTTTAAGGCCTTTGAAGGATGGGTTCTTGAAGGGTTGTAGGCCAATTATAGGGGTGGATGGCTGCCACTTGAAAGGAGGTTATCCAGGCCAGATTTTAGTTGCAGTCTCCAAGGATGGGAACAACAGCATTTACCCCATTGCTTGGGCAACTTGTGAGGTTGAAAACAGGGAGACTTGGGTCTGGTTTCTGGAATCCTTGATGCAATGCATTGGAAGTGCAGATGGGGCAGGCTTCACCTTCATGTCAGACAGGCAGAAGGTAATATTGTTTTGATTATTGTAGTCTTATTTTCTGTCCTGTTCTTTATTGTTTGAAGTGTGACAAGTAATTGTTGATGATGTTAAACAGGGACTGGTTGAAGCTCTGTCTGAAGTTGTGCCTAATGCAGAGACTAGGTTCTGTGTTAGGCACATTTGGGCAAATTTCAAGTTGAAGTTCACTGGATCAGTTTTCAAAGAGCTCTTTTGGAGTGCTGCAAGAGCAACAACATTTGTAAGTCTCTAGGTGACTTTAAATTATTTTGAATAAGTAAATGCATGATATTGTTCCTGTTCATGTACCTACTTCATGTAATAATGTTCCTGTTGTGTATAAAAGCAAAATAAGAGCAACAACAGTTGTGTATGTTATTCTTTCATGATAATGTTCCTGTTGTGGTTGTAGGTTGAGTTTCAGATAGCCATGCAACAGATTAGGGAGCTTGATGAGGATGCTTACAATTATTTGGAGAACATCCCCACTCATCACTGGTGCAGACATGCATTCAGTGACAGTTGCAGGTCCAACATGTTACTAAACAACATGTGTGAGACTTTCAACTCTGTTATCAGAGATGCAAGAGACAAACCTATCCTCACCCAATGGAATGGATGAGGAGGTACATGATGAGGAGAAATAATGAGAAGTGGGAGGACTCCAAGGAAATCACAACCAACATCACTCCATATGTGCATAAGCTATTTTAGAGGATGAGCTATGTGGCTAGGAATTGCATAATTGAAGCTGCCAGGGATGACACTTATGAAGTGCAGCTGAATGATGACCAGGTTCTAGTTGACTTGCCAAATTGGTCTTGTTCCTGCAATCACTGGCAATTAACAGGCATCTCATGTATTCATGCATTTGCATGCATAATGGATCAGAGGGTTGATGCTGAGCAGTTTGTCCACCCCTATTACACTATGGACACTTACAGAGCAGCATATGAGCCTGCAATTCAACCTATGCCAGGCCCAAAGCATTGGGAGAGAGTGAACATGAGAGAGCCTCATCCACCAGCATTCAAACAGCAGCCTGGAAGACCTAAACAGAAAAAGAGGAAGCTGGAACCTGGGGAGGGAACATCTGCAACAGGAAGGGAGCAGGGAAGAAAGAGGAGGAAAAGTTGGTGTAGGATTTGTGGTGGATTTGGCCACTATCCCAAGACTTGCAAGGGCCCACATGAACCTGAACCAACTGAGCAGAGAACTGCAGGAAGGCCTCCTTTAAATTCACCTTGGGTAGTTGAGCAAAGGAAGAAGAGGGAGATCAAAGCTGCTAAGAAGGTATGCTGTTGGATTTGTAACTTTTCTTTTAAAATTTGTGATGAAATTGGATGTTGATACTTGTTTATTGGTATTTGTGTTTAATAAACAGAGTGCAATAGGGGCTGGTCCAAACAGCATTGGGAATAAGACTTTTCCCTAAGAGCAACCTGGTTGTGAACCATTGAGTAAGAGGAAAGGTTCACACAGTCAACAAGGGCAGCCACAAGCCAAGCATCACACCACCCCCTCTTCCAGCCAACCTGAACCCAATGCTACTGGAGTGCAGACAAGGAGGGCTAAGCTGCTGACTTCCAGACAAGGAGGGTTGACACAATGATGTTTGAATTGATTTTCTGAACTTTAGTTGTTGGTTGTATTTTCTGAACAATCAGTTGCAATATTTGTAGCTTTACTTTTGGGTTTAGGACAAGGATCCTGTTTTGTTAAATTAATACTTTGCTTTAAGGCTTTACCAGCCAATTTTGTTAGGCACTGCAACAACAAATTAGATCAACAACTTAAATGCAATATCAACTACTTAGGTACTTACTTAATTCATTGCTTTCATAATTGTGTACATTAGTTTGCTTGCAATAGTGGTTCACTGCCACTTATAAATCATTACATTACTATATTACTGTTTCATGCAATTACTAGCATTACAAGTTATACTTAATGCATTACAAACCCCCTAATAAGAAGGATCACTAATATGACCAAACTAATCCCAACAGCAAGACTAAGAACAGAGTGATCTGATCTAGCATTCCTTCCATGCATCTCTCTGTTCATCTTGTTCCTGTCAGAGTTTAAAGCCTTGCATTTCATTTTCAGCCTGTCCACTTCATTCAGCAAACACCTCAACTGTCCACCAAGATCATCAACTTCCCTCTTGTAATCACTAATTTCCCCCTTCAACAGTTTCTTATCTAACAACAAATTGTTGATCACCTCTGTTTGCCAGGCTGTCCCATCTTGTTCATCCACCCATTCAAATGCTTTACAACCTCTGCTCTCAGTTACAGGATCGTAGAACTTGCATGTTCTGAACTTACGACCAGGGTTCTCCCTTGTCCAACTGGTAAGCTTTGCAAAGGGAACACCACATTTGCACTTCTTCTCCTTTGAAGGTGAGAAACTTGTAGAAGACATTTCCTGCACCAATTTGCCATCCATAATAAGCAAAACCATTCGTACTATGAAAAAAATACAATTGAACCAAGGGAATTAAACAGTCACTCCTACAAATCAAAACCCCCAAATTATTTCTACAATGAACCCTAATTTCATTTTCTCACAAATTACAGCACAATTAACACACAATGAACCCTAACTATTTACGAATTACATGACTATTGCCAGATACGACCTGAATTATGCATTTAAGTCAACAACATATAGATTAATTTACGCCTTATTTTTGAAAGATAAATTAGGGTTTCTAAAGTGCTATTGACGCAATTACCTGATTTGATATCTACGTCCCCCAAACAATGATGGTAAAATCAAACAATTTCGCCAATTTGTTAGTCAGAATTCGCAAAATGTGAAGCAATTTTGTGTAATCAGCTCAACAATTCTACATTAGTGAAGGATGTCGTAACTATATAAAGCAGTTTGGAAAAAATAGCCGTTATTGTGGGCCCAGCTAACAGATCCTCTAACGTTGTTCCAATTTAGGTGGTGAAAGCAAAATTTTTATTTTTTAACAGATGTTATAATTAAACTTCGAAATCTTAAGGTGTTAAAAACAAAATTAGGTCTTTTAACAGGTGTTTTTTTTTCTAATTTAGCCTTTTTTTTATTAGCTGAATTCTGAACACATGGAAAATTAAATTCTATTGGACATAACTAAATGTCATTAGCTTCCAAACCACTAAAATTTTACGAAGTAATTCTCGCACGTATTCAAAATATGCAAACGTACAATAATTAGGAGTGTAATTTGATTCTAAAAACTCTGTAATGTTTGTAGAGGAAGAAGAATGGTGGGAAGTGTTCTCGAGTTGATGTATTGGTTGCAACTCGCACAAGAAAATCCGAGAAGGCTGTGAATGCAATCAATTTGGCAAATAAAACTCATGCAGTAGTAAGTTTATAAGTTTTATGTTTGTTATTTTCCATTTAACATTTACCATCTTATCTTCTAACTTAATATTGTTTATTCATAGGATGAGTAAACAAATTAAAGGAACAAAGAGAGCAAGGTCTTAATGAGAAAACAGATGAGCAAATTATTCAGGATGTGCTTGGCAAAGATACACATGGGTATTTGAAAGCATATGGACCTGGTAGAAGTATTACGCAACATTTTAAAGTAAAGCCCTCTCGAATTGATCTTACTCAAGAGGTGAATGAAGTTAAAAAGAAAGCAGATCAAGCAATTGAAGATGCAAGAAAAGAAGCTGAAAGTGCTAGAACAGAAGCAAAACAGGCTAAATTAGAAGCTGAACAAGCCAAAAAAGAGGCGGAAGCTGTTAAGAATGACGTGGACAGAAAAATTGCTGATAATAATGCAGTTTGGGAGAAGAAGTTTAGTCAACTTCTGGATTTTCTTTGAGCAGGAAGTTCATCTGATTCAGGATGTCAAGGTTCAAAGGAATGAAGTAAGTAATGCTATCTTCACCGGTTATGCATTATACATTTTATCTTATATTCAATACAATTGTTACATTTTTTAAAGCTAAAGAATCTTGACCTCTTACGATTGGCTTATAGCCTTCCTAAAACTCACATTCATTACGATTGGCTTATATTAACTTGATCATTTATCTATTTATTTATTGTAGGTAACAAGGAGCAGAGCACAAACATATTGTCACATGGTATATATAGAGTATATATTGTTCTTTAGCAACATAATTTGAGTGTTTTTTTTTTTGTTTTTTTTTTGGTAAGAGTGAGCTAGTGATGAGACAATGAGACAATTGATTTATAGTATGTTTGTATGTATGGATATCAAACTCAAGTATGTTTGAATGTACGAGATTCCAAGACATTAATATGATTTTTTTAATGTTATGTATCTATTTCAACAATGACAAATATGACATATTTGAGGAAAACTCCATCTGTAATATTCAGTTATGCTTATATCATAGATAATGCTGCAACAAATTAAAGCTTATGCCTATTGAAATTAGTAGCCACGATAATCATTAGTGTTAAGAGATATTATTTGTCATGGTAGCAATGTGGCAATGGATTTATTTGCCACGGTATTATTTGTGGCAAACAAATAAATTAGCTACGGTATATTGCGGAGACAAAGTTTATTAGCCACGGTAATATTTGTGGCAAAGAAGATTACTGGTCACGGTAATGTTTGTGACAACCAAGTTTATTAGCCACGGTAGAATTTGTGCCGAAGAACTTGTTAGCCACATTAATATTCGTGGCAAGTGAATTTGTTTTCCACGTACATACCCGTGGCATAAAAATCGAAATTTGTCACGACATCAATTATCCCGTAGCAAATTTCATAGCCACGGTCTCTTGTGTCACAGGAGTAAATTTCAAAATTCCCGTGGCTACACTACATTGCCACGAGAATTTTAAAATTGTGCCACGATTTTACTCGTGGCACAAAGGTCAATTTGTTGTAGTGGAATGAGAGTCCGTTGAACAATCTCAAGGAGTTCGAAAAGTATTGCAACACTATCAAAGTAAACGGAGTTTCTCACGAGTTCATCCGGCTAAATTTGTTTCCCTTTTCTCTCATAGGCGGGGCCTTGGAATGGTTGGATAAGGAGGTAAAGCCAAACTCCCTAAGAACATGGGACGAAGTCACCAAGGAATTCTTGTCCCGGTTATACCCACAAAAGAAAACGGCATAGGCTAAAGCTTTGATTCAAGGGTTCAAGCAAAGACCAAATGAAGGCCTTTACGAAGCATGGGAGAGGTATAAAGAGTACCAAAGGGAGTGTCCCCACCACGGAATTCCAACCTATCAAGTCATTCAAATTTTCTATGGAGGCCTAAGTCCTCAAGGCAAATCATGCCTTGATGGGGGAGCCGGAGGTCCCATAATGAATAGGACGGAAGAAGAAGTGGTGGACATTATTGAGGATGTGGGAAATACTATAGAGATTGGCAAGATGGTGAGAGGGATTCAACTAGCAAGAGTGGCTCTTTGGTGTACTCTATAGACCATCTAAATGCGATCAAAAACCTATCCTCACAAATGACAAACTTGGGGAAAGAAATGACCGCAATCAAGGCCAAGTTGGAAAGCTCCTCTTCTTTTCAAGCTTCGAATATTCCCTCCCAATTTAAGGGGAGAGGTAATCTTTGTAACTCTCAACCCCCTCCCTGCTCAAATAATATGCCTAGTGGTTGCTTGTTTTGTGATGCATGTGGATCTTATGATCATGACTCTTGTAATTGCCCTCATGTTTCTCCGGAATGTGGTGATGATTTGGATAACAATGAGAGTGAGCATGTGAACTATGTGTCAAATAATAATGTGCAAAGGTTTGATAATAAAAGAGGTTAATGGAATAGGAATTACCAAAACCAAGGTAATTTTGACAACTATAACCAAGGTGGTGGTTATAGGAATCAAGGGAACCAAGGTTCTCGTGGTAACCATAACAATCAAGGTTATAGTAGTCAAAATCAAAACCAAAATTATGGTAATCAAAACCAAAGTTATGGAAATAATAACCAAGGTAGTGGTAACCATAATTAAGGTTATGGTCAAAATCAAAATAGGGGTAATTGGAACAATCAAGGTAGGGGAAATTTTCAAAATAATTCTCAAAAAGGTCCCCCACCCGGATTTGTTCCAAAGACTCAAGGTGAAAATTCCTGTTCACAAACTTATTCTTCTTCTAGGACTAATTTGGAGTAAATAATTGAAAATCAAACTAAGTTGTTGAACATATACTTGGCCGTTAGTGACAAGAAATTTAATGAGATGATGACCCGCAACAAAATTCTCGAAAACCAAATTTCTCAACTTGCTAATGCTTTGAAAGACCAAGAAATCCCTTCTTCTTTACTTTCCCAAGGCCTAGATCCCAAGAAACCCGTGAATGCTATTGTTACAAGGAGTGGTAAGGTTCTTGAGGAGAGATTGCCTAGGAAGAGTGAAGACAAGGAGGTCCCCAAGGAAGCTTTGGTTGAGAATAAGGGAGATAGAGCATCTTTAGATGAGGTTGTGGTTGAGACACCTAGAGAGGTGAGAGTAGATAAAGATATTGTGAAACCCAAGCTCCCTTATTCCCAAAAATTCATGAGGCACAAATTGGATGAGCAATTTGGGAGATTTATTGATATGCTCAAACAACTTCACCTTTCTCTACCTTTCACCGATGTGATCAACCAAATGCCTAAATATGCCAAATTCCTCAAATACATTTTGAGTGGAAAAGGACATGTGATGTTGTGGAGACTATCAACTTGACTGAGAATTGTAGTGCGATCATCATGAACAAAATGCCACCCAAGTTGAAAGACCCCGGAAACTTCTCCATCCCTTGTGCTATTAACAAGATGCAAATTGATAATGCTCTATGTGACTTAGGAGCTAGTGTAAGCCTAATGCCATTTA